GGTGACCCAGGGGAGCAAAATGATTCTTTTTCAATGGGGAGGCTTGAATACAAAACAAAGCTCTTACAAGCAATGCACTTCTCCCAAAGTCTCTATGAATCAGGGTTACAGAAGTCAAATCACTTTTCCAAGTGTACATCAAAGAAACCACAATCAAGGGTCAAGGAACGCACGAAGGAACGTTGACTCCTGCAACTAGGGCGTGGCAGCACCCGTCCTTTTATCTCCAAACCTGCCCCTAACAAGCCCCAGCTACACAATGAATCTTGTATCCCGAAAAGACTCACAGCAGACATCTGCTGAGTCACAACAGCTGCCTATCAAAAATGGTTTGGGAAAGGCAATGCTGTTGATTTGGGAGAACCAAACCTGATACAGTGATTCTCCCTTCTTATACTTGAGGCAGCTTTTGTTGACCCTAATTATTAGGAAGAATTGGGAAAGATTTGTAAGCAATCCAGGCCTATTATCTTCTTCCCCTGCCCATTGAGGCGATTTTGTGAAAACACAAAATCTAACTACATAGCATATAGAAATCCTTAAGCAATCTCGCTTTGAGAGATTTGTTCAGCTAACAATAATACGCCTAGTTGTGTTTTAAGGGCATTTTTTTGTTTTTTATTCCCCTGTGGTTTTTGCTGTTTAGCTTCTCGGTGGGCTCCTTTTCTGGCAAGTCCTCTAATTTACTTTTCATTTATTCTTCAAAAACCCCTATGCTGTTTTCCATGTCTTCAACGAGACAGTCCCTTTAGTCTTCAAACATACCAGCGGAAAAGGCTGCCTATGTAAATTACTTGGTTTTCCAAATGCATTCTGTGCCAAAATGTTGAGTGTTAAAATACTTGAGACATTTTCATAAAAGATTCCTGGAAATAAATTAATACTCTTTTTTATCCCTTTAAAAGAAAATTCTCAGTGGGACAAAAAGATATAGATATCTCCCAGGAAACCTGGTAGACATATTTAGGATTTATGTGGCTATTGAAGGAGAGTTACTTTCTTTATGATATTAGCATTCATTTGCCTTAGCAAAACCTATGTCAGTTGTGAAATTAGATTAGGATCCTAGGGGAATTATAGATCCTACTGTTTTGATTCCCTCAAGTTTTACAATAGTACTATTTTTGAGTTCATTATGCTCCCAGCTTTCGTAGTTTATGTTTTCTGTGCCTATGAGATTAACATCTAATTTACTAGACTTCATAGTTATGCATAGTTCTGCATAATTATGAACAAGAGGTGACTTCCAGTTATGTAAATTCAAGATCTAGCATGATAATACAATGGTGTATTAATCGCAGTTCTACTTTAAAACTTGGAAAATAGGCAGCTTTGTAACAGCTTTTTCTATTATTGAATCTTTTTTTCCTATTGTTCTGTTTCTTTAGAATCTCCTAGTAAGGATATTGGTCCCACCCTGGGATTAAAAAAGTCGAGTTCCCTAGAAAGTCTCCAGACAGCTGTTGCTGAAGTGAAAAAGAATGATCTTCCATTCTACCGGCCTAGACCTCACATGGTCCGTGGGAGGGGATGTAACGAGAGTTTCAGAGCTGCCATCGATAAATCCTATGATGGACCTGAAGACGTGGCAGGAGGTAGGTACCACAGAACCTTTCCATTTTTTTAGTAAAGAAAGCATATTCTTTTTCAAGAAATCTATGCTGTGCACATGAAAATTCATCTATAAAAACCAGATTTCAAAGAAGAGTTTAATCCAATTCTGCATATATATCAACCATAGTCTCGTATGGAACCATATATACTATACTGCAGATTATGTTGGGAACTTTATTAGGATTCTAGTAATGGCCTTAACCTCTGTGAACATGGCTGGAGACCATATATTGATCTGCTCAATTAGCAGCTATTAGTTTTGATATATGTGTCCATGAATATATGTATCTGTCAGCGGTGGGATTCAGCCGGTTCGCACCTATTCGGGAGAACCGGTTGGTAACTTTCTAAGCAGTTCGGAGAACCGGTTGTTGGAAGAAATCTCCTTTTGTTTTTTTTTTCCACTTTACAGGGCTAATCCTGTAAGGAAGGCAGGAAGGAAACACTCTGGTGTTGTTTCTAGCCTAATCTTTATTGCCCTGCTTACAGAAACTGCCTCTCCGGTTAACCCTTATTACATTGTAATAGCTAAGATGAAGTGCCCATCAATGTGAATGATGTTGGCCATGCCCACCCAGTAACATGACCACTAAGCCCCGCCTACCCTGCTGGTCATTAGGGCAGAGAACCGGTTGTTAAATTATTTGAATCCCACCACTGGTATCTGTGTACAGTTCTTTGGACAGCTCTCTCATATTCCAGTATAATGACCAAAAGACCAGCCTTCTTTCCATGTTGATGCATTATCTAACATTGTGTCTTTTTTGTGTGTGTGTGAGCTTACTAGGTACTATATGAATCTAGATTTCAATAGTGTGTGTGTATTTCTGTTTGAATGTAAAAGGCTTGATAAACTTTGTATCAAGCAAGATATATATGACCAAATACAATAAGTGGTGATTAACATGAACAATGGTATCCAGTTAGATTTAGCTATACGTACTTTATGGTCCGTTTAATGCAAAGAATTAGATGAAAATCCATTGTAATGCAACCTTTGTAGGGGTGGGTTCTGGCCGGCTTTAGTTCAAGCCTTAAAAAAAACGCCCTCTACAGGAGGAGGCGAGAGAACCACGTGCCTCATCTACATAAGGAATTTTTCGGCTTTTAACCCTTGCTTAACTCTGCTTGAGTGATCATAAAGATAGACTAAATGAGGCACGTGGTTCTCCTGCCTCCTCCTGTAGAGGGCAGGTTTTTTGAGGCTTTTTTAAACAGTTAAGCACTAAGCAGAGTCATCCACTGTGACTCTGGCAGCAACTAGCTCAGCCTTTTTCCTTTTAAATTTTCTTTTCTTTTCATGATGACAGTGGTGAGGCTCTGCCTCCCCTGACTGCACGTCCCTGGTTCAGACACATGGCAGGCCTGGGTCACTGCTGGTTCCAGCGACCCAGGCTGCCCATACCACTATTGGTTCAGGCGAACCAGTAGGAACACACTTCTGAACCTTTGCAGTTATAACAGGATCATTGGAAATTTCTTTTGTTTGCAATTTATAAAAAAGTTGTTTGGATTATACACATTAATCGGAAAATATATACAGGTAACCCTCGACTTACGATGATAATTGAGCCCAAGATTTCTTGTTTGCCAAATGAGACACTTGTAAAGTGAATTTTGGCCCATTGTCTGACTTTCCCTGCCACAGTTGTTAAGTGGATCACTGCAGTTGTTAAATTAGTAACATGGTTGTTAAGTGAATCTGGCTTCCGCATTGACTTCACTCGTCAGAAGGTTGCAAAAGATGATGATGAGATCTCACGGTAGGACACTGCAACTATCATAAATATTTGTCAGTTGCTAAATGTCTGAATTTTGATCACGTAACCCTAGAGAGGCTGCAATGGGTGAAAAGCAGTCATAAGTCCCTTTTTCAAGTGCTGTCGTAACATTCAGCTGTCACTAAATGAACTGTTATAAGCCGAGGACTTGCCTTTATGTAGTCAAAAGATGATTGTCTGTACCTGCTGATTAATTTTCTCCCTCTGCAGATGGTCTATCGGATAAGAGTTCCCTTTCTGGCCGAGAAGGCCAGAACTTTGCAAAAGCCTTTCACATGAACTCTGAATTGGAAGATGTGGAAGGAAAGACAAAGAAACACAAGAAGACCAAAGAAAAATTGAAAACGAAAGAAAAAAACAAAAAGCCTAATCTCAAGAACAAATCAAAAATCAACGAAAAGGACAAAAAAGAGGAGAATGACAATCCTGAAAGAAAAACAAAAAAGAAAAGTTTGGGCGCTATGTTAAGGTAAAAATTCTTTTTATATATATATTGCTTCCTGATCTTATATTAATTTGAGCTTGATTTATTCGGCCTGAGGCCCCTTGGTGAGGTTGAGTAGAAGTCGATCTCTATATCCGTTGAACGACATTTACTATAAATGAACACTATATATGCTAATTTTACTAATACATCAGTTAAACTGCATATTGGAAAAAAGGAGAATATATTTTTCAACATGTACTTGTTAATTATTTTGTCGGCACTTATGACCTATTTTTCCTCAAAAAAAAAAAAGGCTAGAGAGATGTTATAACAAATAAACTATTGATTTTGGCGCAAGCCCAGTGAAGGCGGTAAGACTATATTGAGTCAGGTTTGAATGAAATCTTAGTGATTTGGGTTGGTTTGCTTTTAGGATGAGCAGTTCTAATTCAGATTTGTTATCTTTAAAGTTATAAACCACATGAACTAAATGTTGTTGGATGAACAGTAGATATGTCTGCCAACTCCGAAGCTTGCCTAACTGAGGCCATCTTGGAGGCTTCAGTGTTGCCCAGTGGTGGGTTTCAAAAATTGTTTGAACCTACTCTCTGGGTGTGGCCTCCTTTGTGGGAGTGGCTTG